TGGAGAGGATGTAGCAAGATAGGAACTCTCATACACTGCTGGTGGGATTGTAAAATGGTAAAAGCACTCAAGAAAACAGTTTGGCATTTACTGAAAAAGTTGAACATAGAAACTGTATGACCCACTACTAGGAATATACCCCCAAGTAAATTAGAATTGAGACACAAACGGAGATCTGTACACCAATATTCATAGCAGCATTATTCACCATGAAAAGAACATGGACACAGTCCAAATGGCCAAGAATAATTCAATGGATTGAGAAATTGTGGTACATTCACTCAATGAAATACTATACAGTACTCAGGAACAATAATTTCGAAAAATTCTACATAACTTGGGAGAGACTGGAGTGCATTATGCTGAGTGAATTAACTCAGTCTCATAAGGACAAATACTGCATAAGACCATTATTGTAAAAAATAGAAGGATAACTAGTAAAACATGTAAAGGGACCAAAGGGAAAAAGGGGTAAGAACAGAGGGTTTTGAGGATGGGTAGGGGCAAAGCCCCAGGGTTTCAGTATGGTGGATGGAAGGAGGGGGTAAAGGAAATGGGAAGGATCTGGCAAGGATCTCAAAAGACAGGTTAGTGATAGGCATGATTTTACAAAACATAATGTCTGGGAATGATCATATGAAAAACAAAGTGAATAAGAGAATGTGTGAAACATGATGTATATGAATGAAATACAATGTATATGAATTCTGTATGTAAACCATATTGTTGTTATATACTATTAAGTTGTCTGCTACTCACATGGATCCTACGACAATAGCTCTGAAGCCTGCTCTATCCTGAGTCAGTCTCACTAACTCTGGCACAGCTGCCCCTGTCACCCCAGTTACTGTGTCAATCTATCTCATCCAGGGCCTTCCTCTACCGTTCCAAGCATGATGTCCTTCTCCAAGGATTGGTCCTTCCTAGCTACATGCCCAAAGTATGTATGTATGTATGTGTGTCTATCTATCTAATGAGAAAAAAGAATGGGACTCCCAGAACATTTAATTGTGTTCTTGCCAAACAGTAACTACTTTTGAGGAAGGGCAGAAGGGCTACACAAAAATTCATCAAAGATGTGAAGAATTAACAATTAACTAGGTCTCCTAGACTTACACAGAACATTCCATGTAAAAGAGAAGAATATATACACTTTCTTCTAGAGTGTACATGGAACACTTTCCAGAAGAGATCATGTTAGGTCACAAAGTTAAGTCTCAATAAATTAAAAACACTGAAATATTTCAAAATGTCTTCTCTGACCACAAAGCTATAAAATGAGAAATGATATCAAGGGGGGGAGAATCAAGTACATGAACAATAAATAACACCATGTGTGTATCACTGTTAATATTGTTGCTGTTGTATACTGTCCATTTAGAATCAACTCATAGCTGACCCTCCAGAGGGTTTTCAGAGGCAATAAGTTACACAGGAGATTGCCCATCATTCTAGTATGATTAACAGGAGAAATTTTAAAAAGACAGAAAAATTAACAAAACACTATATATCAAAATCTTTGGGCACAGCAAATACAGTGCTTGAGGTCAAAGAACACGAATATCAAAAGGGAAGAACCAACCAAAATCAACACTTCTTCAAGGTTTTATCTGAAATTACAGGAACTAGGCAAGGATGCCCACTATCACCTCTTTTATTCAATATTGTTTTGGAAGTCTTAGCAATAGCAATAAGACAAGAGAAGGGAATAAA